ATGCATGTTTAATGGATAACACTAACACTACTCTTGTGCATGTTTAACATTTAATGTACAGTTAATCTAGCAAGAAAAGAAAAAAGAAGGAAAGACAATTTCGAAATATGAAAATAAATAGGAGATAGTACAGAATAAAAGTAATGAGCGCAGCAATTTGTTACTAGGAATTCAACGTTTTCTTAAATTAAAGTTTACACAAACAAAACAATAACGGAATAAATGCTCGAATAGCTATAAATACTGGTAAAAGTAATGTAGAATCGTCCATCGAATATGGGTATGTTTGTTGCTGACCGCTTGTCTTACGAGGACTTTCTGTTTTCGAAAGTAATTCATGGAATTCATCGTTAATATCTTCTTCATTATCCAGTGCTGGTAATTTCTTTCGATACTCACCCGTTTCGGTATCTTCTTCATTGGAAACTAATTTTCTATGTTGGCCATTAAGGATCTTCTTTTTGTTCGCGCCTCTAATGGAAGCACTGTCTTCTATATCTCGATAGAAAGTGTCTTTATGTAAAGACTTTAGCCATGGTATACGTTGAACGTCTCTTTTCAATAACATGAAAGCATTCATTTTCGGATTGTCGTAAGGACCCTTCATGAAATCGAAACGTACCAAGTTGTTGCGTACATTAGACACCTTCTCCTTGTACTTTAATTTACCCGAGGTAACTGTAAAAAAGACGTATTCATGATGGGCAGAGCCGTGACCCAATTCAGACACTATAACATGACGACGATTTAAGACCACATCAAATATCTGAAAAGTTTTGAAAATTTAAATTTAATTTTTTCTCATTTTATCTTTCTCCTTTTTTTATTTAGTTGAATAAAATAAACTTCGCAAAATTTTAGTACCAAAGCAAAAGAAATTACAACACGTTACTTGTACATGTCAAAGGCCTCCCTCCAAACGTTCTCAAAATGGTGCATGTTTTTCATTTCCTACAAATAATGTATGGTATAAAGCCCAATTACGAATCATATAATGTAAAGAAAATGTACGTTAGTGTAAACATAAACTAGATAAATAATTTCGAAATGTAAAATAAATTGCCTTTAGTTCTTCTTGTACATTGTTTTCTGCTTGTTTTATTTGTATGCAGTCATGCAAAAATACACGATTTGTCAATTGCCACAAAATTTGGAAAATGTCTGCAAAGTTGAATAAATTCGTTTCATTCATATATTTATCGTATTTATTGATACTTAGTTATATTACTCTGAAGGGATGTTATGTAAATTTCGATTTATGGCAACTACTTTCGCGATTTGCAATTATGGCAGCACCACTCTTCCTTTTCTTATTTCTCAATTCTTTTGGTTTCCCTTTCTTAACAAGACAGCACAAAAAATGTCTAAAAGAGGTGAATTTTCGCAAAATATTAATCTTAGTGAATCCTAAAGTTATGAATATGCTTTCACATTGAATAGTAATTGAGAAAAAAACATATCAGTTTAATGAACATAATAACATTAATATATTTGCTCTTTTCGGCATTACGGTATAGCAGGTTGTGAAATGGCGGGAGGACAATTTCGCATATCGCTTAGTTTATCTGTCGGCGCTGTGATGAACTGCACTGACAATATTGGTATTATTTTCTAAAGCTTAAGAAAATCTAAAGTCAATTTATTTAAACAAATTTTTACAGTCACCAAAAATATACGTAATTGCTGTGCACGGAATTCCTGGTCGCTTGAATCATTCACCAGCTGCTGGCGTCGGTGATATGTTTGTGGCAATCGTCAAAATGGGTAAACCTGAGTTGAGGAAGAAGGTACGTGCAGTGAATAAACTTAAAAATATTTCAGAATTGTATGGAATTTTGTGAAAAGGCGACTCTTTTAAAACAGTTGACGTGCAATCCGCGTAACAGATCATTTTTATTAAACATTTTCAAAACTTGAAGCTTTACTTTCTCATTAGCGATTATGTTGCGCCTTTTAGTTTGATTTTAAAAATCACTAAGCAAAGCTACAATTGCCAAATACGTATTCAAAATTTTATTGGTTTCCTTCCACTACTTTTTCATTTAGCAGAATTGTTGAGGTATTTTTGCACCATTTATTCTCATTTAATAGAATTGTTGCGGTTTTTTTCGACACTCATTCATTTAGCAGAGTTGTTGCGGTATTTTTGCACTACTTATTCTCATAATTCATTCATGGATTTATTTGTTTTTTATTTTAAAAATTGGTATAAAATTAAAGTAATTTATTTCCCTTCCAGCTGTAGTCATACGGCAGAGAAAGTCATTCCGAAGGAAGGACGGCGTGTTGAGGATAACGCGGGATTCTAGTAAACAATAAAGGCGAAATGGAAGATTCTGCTATAACTGGACCCGTTGCAAAAGAATATGCCGATCTATGTTGATGTCCTTGCTCTCTCAAGTTGTTTCCTGTTAAAAGTATGACGAGTATATAGCCAAGTAAATTGGTTCTATGGCTACTGCCATTGTTACAGGAGCCTTCTTCTATGCAGAAGACACGCTGTACCACTACAGTCGCCTGCACGTGCTTGCCTATATTCAACTCGATCATATGGTGCCTCATGCCCGCGTGGAAAACCCCGTGCGCATCCTTACATGCTGCATAGACCTCAAGCTATCCCGCTTATCTCGCAACTTACGACCTCGCTTCTCTTGGCAGAACGCATCCTCC